GTCTTTCCAACCTTCTGATCATTATTTCCATCTTCCATGTTAATCTAAAGGTCAACTTTCCGCTCTTGGAGGAAGAACATGCATTCTTGGTGCATAATAAAATTCAAATCCCTCTTCCCGCTAGTGATGGCCTTTGTGGCTCATCCAGGCAGCCTCATCCTAAATGTCTATGATGTAACTCAAAGAAAATAAAATTCTCAGTTCTGAATTTGGAGGGAAGAGCAAATAAGCCCAGTACATAGTCCCAACAAGCCACAGTGATTGTGTAAAAATACGTTTTATATCTGGCATTTGATTTGCCACACAGTTTAACAGAAAAATAACTTTATCTATTTTTTCCAGTTAAAGGTAGTAATAGTACAATCAATAATTCCTCCTGCTCTAGTGTGGTAAATTAATGTCTGTCTATTGTTTTTAAATCACAAAGTGAGCATTGCTATAGAAATGTAAAATGGTACCATTTCATTTTAATCTACTTAATTTTCCTTTCTTGAATTATATAATGGGGTTAAAACGTTGAATAGAATTAATAGAATGAGTATTTAATTAAGCAATAATGAGCTTCTAAATGGATGCTCAAAGAAACTGCTTCATAGTTTATGCAGAAATCAGATAATGGTCTTAACAAAGACTATAATAATTGTGTTGAACATTTTCCATATGTAATTTTTTTTTTTTTGTATTCTCTCAGGAGTAAATTTAAACATAACCCAGTTCCTTGATTAGGCTACACTTTGCTTTCAAAGTAAATCCCAAATGCCTTTCCATGGCCAACAGGGCCCTGCATAAACTGACTCTACCACCTCTGGAGTCTGATGTCAAAGAGTTCTCTCTGGCTCTCCCCTTCATTCCAGCCACACCCAGCTTGCCTTTGCTCTGCAAAGGCACCTGTGGCTCTTCCTGCCACCTGGCCTTTGTTCCTGCTCTTTCAGATGCCAGGTGTGTTCTCACCCCCTTCACCTCTCTAAGGCCTCCTCTTCTTTCAGTTCTCAGGGAATTTTTCCCTGATGATCCTCTCCAGACTGGATCAGATACCCGCCTACACACACACAGAGAGAGACTCCTCGAGAACTGTGATTTTATTCCTTGACAATTAACACATTGTTATACATTTCTTTCCTATCTGTCTCTCGTTTCAGCCTGCAGTTTCCATGAGGAAATATCATGTCTGTTTTGTTTAGTGGTGTATCCCTGGATGGATGGATGGATGGATGGATGGATGGATGGATGGATGGATGGATGATAGATGGATGGATGGATGGATGGATGGATGGATGGATGGATGGATGGATGATGAATGGAATGATAGATAAAGAGATGGATGATGGATGGATGCATGGATAGATAGATGGATAAATAGATGGATGGCAGGTAAATATCGTTGTGGACCCATCCAAGGACACATGAGGGCCACAGTGCACATCTCTGAGAATTCCTAGCACATCAGCACCTTTCCATTCTACTTGAATTCATTTGCTCACACACTAACAAGGTATTCTATACCAGCCCCTTCAGCAGGTGCTGCAGATATAAAACTATCAGTGTCGTGAAAGAAGCTGCACAGGTTTGTCTCACTTATACGTGGCCTAAATATTAATTTTATTAATTCAGTCATCCACCCATCCACCCACTTACCCATCCATCCATCCACCACCCATCCATCCATCCACCCATCTGTCTATCCATCTATCCATCCACCCACCCATCCACCCATCCATCTATCCATTCATCCATCCCATCTTCAGACCTGCTCGTGTGTTGGATCAGGGCTAACTCATCCATCAGGCACGGTTATCATGTGCTAGGACCCTAAAATCAGAAAGAAATAAAAATAACTTTTAGGGTAAAATAAATTTTTAATTCTTTTCTTCACATCATAAAAATAATTTTTTCTGAGACAGGTTCTTGCTCTGTCACCAAGGCTGGAGTGCAGTGGTGTAATCATAACTTACTGCGGCCTCAAACTCCTACACTCAAAGATCGTCCCACCTCAGCCTCCTGAGTGTGTGGGACCACAGGCACGTGCCACCACACCTGGCTAATTTTTTACAATTTTTTTTTTTTTAGAGGGTATCTCACTATGTTGCCCAGGCTCATCTTGAGTTCCTGGGCTCAAGTGATCCTCCCACCTCAGCCTCCCAAAGAGCTAGGATTACAGTGTTAGAATACCATGCCCAGCCCCCAAAATAAATTTTTAAGGCACATTACTCTATTATGGTAGGAGGGGTTGATAAAGGCAAAGGTGCCTGGGGTCCACCAGTCATGGCACAGCTCTGCTGGAACACAGAGGAGATCAGTCCATCCCTGGTCTTCTGGAACACTCAGACTAGTGGCAGAATCAGGCGTCCGTCAACAAGTCAGTCCCTCTTAGTCTTCCTTCTCTATGGCTTTGTCCCTTCACATTTCCTCAGCCCTCGCCTCTGCTGCCAGATCCCACTTCCTATACTTAAGATCGTTCATTCATTCAACAAATATCTACTGAGTTTCTTCTGTGCACCTAGCACCATGCAAGAGACTAGAGATAAACCCATGAAGAGACAGGTGCACATAGAGCCTCCAGCCTCCTCAAATCATGGTTTGTCACAGCGTTTTCATCTTGGCAATGACACCCGCTTTGACAGAGCAACTTCTCACTTATGCACTGGACATGACAGCATTTCTACCTGACTGGTGGTTCCCAGCATCCTCTAGCCTTAGCCCATTTCATGCCCACATGATTGACACCTGGTTTCCTAAGGTACAGGTGTCGGAAGAGCCACAAGGACAGGTTATAAGCTGACATCTGCTGTGATCTTCAGGGACAACCAGTCCTCTGGCTCTGGACTGCAGCAAGCAGGTGAAGGAAGGACTGGCCTAAGCCCTGGGGATCTGAGGTGGGCACGAATGACAGAACTGGTTGGGAGCAAAGATTACCGGAAACCAGGAGACTTAGGTCTGATCTTTGGGTCACTAAATGACTTTGGGCAGCACTCTTCCTTCTTCCTTCCTTCCTTCTCTGTGCTATCATCTTCCTCTGTAATATGAAGGGATTAGATCACTCATGTGTCACCAAGCCCCCTTCTGGCTACATGGCAGATGGCATTAATTGATCACAGCACTCTTTCCTGCTGAACCCAGATGTACTGCAGGCCTGTCCACACCAGACTCAGACAGCTTCACCCATTCACAAGGGTAGGTCCTGTCATTGACACCTGCCTGCCATCCTTAGACTTGGACTCCATCCTGCTTCTTGCCCCTACTACATATTAGATTTGTCTAGTCAGATGAAGAAAATACTGAGTCCCAGGCTTTACCCCAGAGCCTGGGGAATCTGAATTGGTCTGGGGATTCTGAATCTGAATTGATTCCCTGACTGATGCCTGATTCTGCCACTTGCCTGCATGTTCCAGAAGACCAGAGATGGACTGATCTCCCTTGTGCTCCAACCTGGCTAGAGGACCCCAGGCACTTTCTCCTTCATCAATCCCTCCTACCATAATAGATTTTCATGCACTTTAACCTTGGGGAATCCTGAATTGGAATAGGACTCAGGAAGCTTTTTCAAAGCCTCTGGGAGGTTCTAATGTGCAGACAGGGCTGAGAACCATTAGTATAGTTTTCCAGCTCAAGAATGCTATGATTTTTTGAGAAGAGGAGAAGATAGAAGATAGGTAGACATTAAACAAGAATCATATGAATCAGATCAAAATAATTGCCCCCTGGAGCTGTTTCTGTGTGACAGCAGCCTCAGTATCCCTCCTCGTTCCCACTATTTTCTAGCCTCCATGCATGTTCTAAGAATTTTCCAGCTCTCCTTTTATGGAAGACAACTCTTCTGGGTTTGCCGAGGTGCAATAAACAAATTAGTTCCAATCCCCGCCCCATCTCCTGAGAGGCCTCAGGATTAAGGTTTATGATTAATGATTTGCAAGTCAATTAATCAGTCACTGCTTTTGAAACCTCATTTCTCAAATTACTTTTCTTTGAACACAAGGGCTTTTTGACATCATCTTACTGTCTCTAGATTCACTTTCCTACTAATCGAAATTCCAAGATATTTCTTCTTCTTGTCAGCTTATTGGTGTTACTTGTTTATAAAATATTTGCAAACAGATTACTATTTACCTGTAGTGTGTCAGAGGTAAGCACCAAAACAATACTTTATGCTTCCAGCTCAAAGGAATGTGCTAATGATAGCTCATGAAATTCTCTATGAGAAAGTTGATTTTTCATTTATTGATTTATTTTCACCACACCTACTTGCAACAAGTATTTGAGATGTATTACAATAGAAACACAGGTACAACAAGGCTCCAAACAATTGATGTAGATGATTTCTTAGAAAATGGTTTCTAAGGTCCTATTAAGAGTGGATATGGAGTGGAAAGAATGGGACTGGTTTTCTTCATTCGAGAAAATAGCAGGGTCTAGCAGAGGATCTGGAGTCAAACCCCAGTCTCTTCATTTACAAGTCTTAGCGCTTTACTCATCTGATTATGTTGTTGTTTTGGGGAGGCAAGGCTGCGAGAACAAATGCAAACAAAAATGGCTTGAACTCAATCGAAAATTGTTTCTCATTCAATGATAGTTCAGGACAGGTGTTCTTGGCCTCCAGGTTTCTCCCCTCCATGTGGTGACTCAGGGACCCAAGCTCCTCCTCCCCTGTGGCTCCCTGCTCCCTTGGGGTTTTGTGGTCCTCTGCATTCAGGTAGGCAGAGGGTGAAAAAGCCCAGAAAGGAGGCACAGCTGTTCTTTTCACCCTCCCACCACAGAGTAGCACAGCACAGCCATGGTCAGTATCATTCCTGCCTACATTCTGCAGAAGAGAAGTTAGTCTCATGGCCTCACCTAAGTTCAAGAAAAGCTGAGAAGAGGAGCATAGTATCTTCCAATCATAATCCTCCTATGTTATTTATGTTTATGTGAGATGATGTGTGTAACATACCCAATGCAAAGCATGTAATGGACTATGTGTGTTCAATATAGTGACCATTACCATCTGCTTTTTTTTTTTTTTGCAGTTTCAAGCCACAGTCGAGGAAGGAGCTGTGGGAGTTATTGTCAATTTGACAGTTGAAGATAAGGATGACCCCACCACAGGTGCATGGAGGGCTGCCTACACCATCATCAACGGAAACCCAGGGCAGAGCTTCGAAATCCACACCAACCCCCAAACCAATGAAGGGATGCTTTCTGTCGTCAAAGTAAGGGTGCTTCCAACTGCCCCTTTCTCCTCTTGCAAGTGTGGAGGACCCTATGAGGGGACTCATAGAATCACCGAGTTTAGAAGGCCACAGATAAATTCTCCCAGTCTCCTCCTTCTGGGAATTAACAAAAGAAAATGCTTATGGCTTAAGGGTGCCCTCCTGTCCTCAGCAGCATAAACAAGCAGCCATCAAACAAACCTGTTTTATAGGTTCTAAAATACCCAAACTTACGTGTAACTTTAAGAAAACCAATCTTAAGTGGATTATTTTTGTTTTTGTTTTTGTTTTCTGAGACAGTCTCACTCTGTCGCCTAGGCTGGGGTGCAGTAGTGTAATCTCAGCTCACTACAGTCTCCATCCCCTAGGTTCAAGTGATTCTCGTGTCTCAGCCTCCTGAGTAGCTGGGATTACAGCTGCCTGCCACCATGCCTGGCTAGTTTTTGTATTTTTAGTATAAATCGAGTCTCACCATGTTGCCCAGGCTGGTCTCAAACTCCTGGCCTCAAGTGATCTGCCTGCCTTGGCCTCCCAAAGTGCTGGGGTTACAAGTGTGAGCCACCATGCCTGGCCCAAACTTAAGTTTTAAATGAAATTCTTTATACATTTGCTAAGGAATTATTAACAGATATGCCAAAATGAGACATGTGAAGGTGTTTTTAGAGATCTGTGCTCAAAATGTGGCTATGACATGTCTTCTTAATCTTTCTTAGCAGAACTCAATTATTCCTTAAAAACACACACACAACATAATTATTGGTGTAAACCCTCTGTGAGCCTTGCTGACTCACACACTGACCCTCTCGCTGGCAACGAGTAGAACAAGGAGGAAATGTAATTATAAATGTAAAACCTCTGGCTCATGCTGATAATCCAGAAATATTACTGGGGATGGTGGCACAGAAGGCTTGCTACAGGTGGCCTTGGCATTCCGAAAGGAGTCATTTCTACACAGTTTCACTCTTAATAGGAAGTTCTGGGGAGAGTTTCTGCCAGAGACCAGGACCTTCATGGGAACACATTTTCTTTTCTAGTGGATGAAGCCATTTTCCTGAGCAGCAGGGATCAATCATATTTATAGTCATAGTAGCAGTGGGCAGAGGAGGGACGTGGCTGCCCACTCCCTGTGTGCCCTAGGCCAAGATACCCATGTTTTCTGTGCCTCAGTTTCCCCATCCATAAAATGAGAATGATAATAGAACCTACCTCTTAGGGTTGTTGTTGAAATCCATTGAGTTGCTATAATGAAGGCTGGGTGGCTTATAAACCACAGACATTCATTTCTCACAGTTCTGGAGGTTGAAAAGTCCAAGATCAACCTTCCAGCAGATTCTGTGTCTGGTGAGGACCCACTTTTGACAGATGTCCATCTTCTCTCTCTATCTTCACATGGTAGATAGAGTAAGGCAGCTCTCTGGAATTGCTTTTTTTTTTTTTTTGAGATGGAGTCTTGCTGTGTCACCAGGCTGGAGTGCAATGGCATGATCTCAGCTCACTGCAACCTCCACTTCCTGAGTTCAAGTGATTCTCCTGCCTCAGTTTCCTGAGTAACTGGGATTACAGGTACATGCCACCACACCCAGCTGATTTTTGTATTTTTAATAGAGATGGGGCTCACCATGTTGGCCAGGCTGGTCTTGAACTCCTGACTTCAAGTGATCTTCCTGCCTCAGCCTCCCAAAGTGCTGGGATTCCAGACATGAGCCACTGCACCCTGCCAAATCCTGTTTTGCTCATATCTATTTTCCTTGAGCTGTAGCAAACACATTTTGGGGAGGACTGAGCTCCAGGGTGTGTGATGGAGATGTCTATTTACCCAAGTTTTATCTTCAAGTTGCAGGTTTGGAAAATTGCCTGACAGCTTTTATAGACTCAGGATTAGCCACAGAGGACAGCCAGTGGCTATGTCATTCTATGACTTTTACAGCTTCGAAAGTGCAGCAGCCACGGACACAGAGGGCCAGTGCCAGGGTTTCCTGATAACTTTGCCATTGCCTAATACGTTAGTGCTTTTATGTACTTCGTGCATCACTGCTAGTCCCCATGAATAATATGCAGTACTGTAATTGCTTATTCGTACATAGTACATTCATATATAAGAGTACATTACAAACCTAGTCTACATACATATAAGCACGTATTAACAATTCCTTAATTAACTACCACATATCTACTGTTGTCAAGTACACAATAAAACCTAACCCATACGAATATTGACCTGTACTAGAAATCCTTAATATTATGTAGTACATGCATTCGTTCATTGGACATAGCACATCTCAGTCAAGAAGTCCCTCACCAACAAGGATATCCCCTACCAAATTTTGGCCTCTGAATATACCAGCCTCTGAGAAATCATCATCCCGCTCAGCAGTACTACCCTCCTCGCTCCAGGCCCGTAACACTTGGGGGTGACTATCCTGAAACTATACCTGGCATCTGGTTCTTACTTCAGGGCCATAAAACTAAGTAAGATCACCCACATGTTCCTCTTAAATAAGACATCT